TTAAAGGAAATGTGATGGAAAGGCTAAACAGCTAAAATAACAAAAACTAGCAATGACCAGCAGCCTGATTTTAAAGAAACCTTTCTCATTATTAGTAACCATCATAGTAAGCATTGTTCTTGTATAACAAGCAATGCATTAAAAAGGTAATGCAACCATACTATAGGATGTTCTCTATGCGAGATATTGGCCACAGATTGCTGACAAAGAAAATGACCAGATATTTTGAAATAAATTCAGACAAAGAAAAATGCAAGGTATAAGCTTCATAGCATTAGCATGAATTCATGTAGTTTGCATAAGGCAAACATGGAAATGCAAATTCATTTAATTTGATAGAAAGAAAAAAGACAAGGAATTTTATGTAGTTTGCACGAGGCAAGCACACAAAAGCAAACTTATTATTCTTTTGTTGATTTTAATTTGCTCTGTGTAGGCTCTGAAAATTTTTCTGCTAAAATAGTTTTTTGTGCTGAAAGTGTACCCCTTGAGCTGTTGTAAATTGTTCTCTTTTTATGGCTGGATGGATCTTAAAAGGGTTATTGAATGGATCATGGATTTATAATAGTGGTGAATGCCGAAAATGGTCCATGAATCTTACCATGATGGTGAAATTTTTTCTGCTAATTTTCTTTCTCAAAGCCTATTGGCTGAAATATTGTTAGCAGTTTCCCACTTGAAATATTGTTAATAGTTTCCTAAATTGCTGAGCTTATTTAGTTATTTGCTGCATGCCCATTTGTGAAGGGAGCTGATGAGGGGGGGGAGAGAGAGAGAGAGATGTGAACTACAAATAAAACATATGTGATCTATATCATGATTTTTGTTAGACTTACTGAGGACAATCTATGAAATTCAAATCTCATTCTTTTAACAATTATCGTCCTCTCATCAATGAAACTGCAATGAACGGTTGGAGCTGACTAATTTCCAGATCTCCAGGTTTGCAAACTTCCAGGTTCAACCAAACACTACTGTAGAAATTTCTAAACAGGTTGCCAAAGACATTATTTATCTTTACCAGGTATAAAAAATCCCAGCATCTAGATCTCAGAAGTAGAAATTCCTACCTCCATTTCCAACTTTAAGTTGCCAAATGCCCCGTTTAAGAAATCAAGCTATCTCTTTGCCAAAAAGAGAAAACAAAATCCATCCTTTGGGGAATGAATGAATAGGATGAGAAGGGTAACAGCGTGCAAGAGGAAAAAAAATGTACCATGAGGGCGTGTTTGATAACAAGTAGTGCCTTCTTGGAAGTTGAGAACTTCTTAATACTGTTCAAGTTTCGTGTTTAATAAAAAAAAAGAACTTCATATCAAAACTTCACGGCACTGTTCATCTTCCTATCTTGCATTAAAAAAAAATTCCGACCCTTGATAACCCTAGTTCAGCAGTTCGTAGTTCGCAGAGAGGCAGAGTCCTCTTCCGCCATCGAGAAGCAGTTCGCAGAGAGCCCTCTCTCTGCCATCTCTTACACAGATTTTTACTAAGAGCTCGAAAAATCTATTGTTGGGGGAAACATCAGTAGGTCGAGCTCCATTGTTCTTGGGCTTTTTCGAGTCACCAACCTCCCACCCTCCATTAACAGGTATGTTTTTTTTTTTCTTCTATATACCTATTTCTCTTGCTCGAAAAATTAGGGTTTCTTTGTGCGAAGATCTTCTAAGATCCTGTGATATTGGTTGTTATCGTTTTTTTTAGTGCAAAAAATGCTCGATTTGGTTTATCATCTGTGGGAGAAATTTTAGGTTGCCCATATTATGGAATCATAGGGTTTCCTCATTTTTTTGCATTATTCATTTTTTCTGTGTTTATTTGTTATTCATTTGATTTTGTGGGTTCCTTCTCCATGGTCTTGCTTTTTGTAGAAGTCCCAATTGTAAATTGTGAATTTTGGCAAAAGCCCTAAATTTCATTGGACTGGTGTTTGTTTGTATATACGGTTTCACTCTTGTTTTCTGTATATGTTTTTGTTTTGAAAAAAAGAAAAAAAAAGAAGACAAGGTGACTGGATTAAAGGATTTTGTTTAGTGGTTTGAAATCTATGCTTTACTATGATTTTGAGTTATTTTTATGACTTTTGCTTACCATTTTGTTTGTTTGTGGAGATACCCGGGATTTGGTGTTGGTTTTATGTGGTGGAAGCTGGAGGTTTCCTTGTTATTATGATTCCTATCATCTTGCTTAATTGATTTCTAAATAGTTTTGTGTTTTTTGGTAGAGAGTCGTTTTGCTGTAGATGTTAGGACTACTTCTCTATATGGGCATGTGTTGCTTGCAAAGAATCCTTGACATTCCTCTATGCATCCTTAAAATGTACTCCCTTCTCTATGTGGGCATGGTATTGCATTTTGATGTTTCTTATTTTTATTTTTTTAATTATCTTCTGTTTTTTAATCATTTGTGTAGGTCTATGGGCTTAAGATTAACTGAATATTGCATTACTGGATCAGTGATAGCTTTGATATATTTGGCTAGTTTCCTTTTTGTGGTATATGTATTGCTTTCAGTGATGTGGTAATACATTTTGGTGTTTCTTAAGTTTATTTATTTTTATTTTTTATCTTCTGTTTTTTAATCATTTGTGTAGTTCTATGGGCTTAAGATTAGCTGAATATTGCATTACTGAAGCAGTGATAGCTTTGATTTATTTGGCTAGTTTCCTTTTTGTGGTATATGAATTGCTTTTTAGTGATGTGGTACCTTGATATTGCATTTTGGTGTTTCTTTTTTGGTGAATACCTTTTATGTGGTTTATGTTAACACTTGGAGGATGGAACAATTTGTTTAAGTTCAGCTGGTATTAATTTATGGTAAAAGCGACATTATTGGCATTTGGCAACTCCAAGTGTTGATCTCTATATGATTTCCATGCGGTGTTCTTTATTGATAATTTCTATTAGAATTTTTGAATCTGGTCTGACCTTTCATACTGTTTCTATGCTTTGTTACTCATTCCATTCTTGTTTATTAATGGATGTGTTTCTTGGTTTTGCCGATCAATATTATTGATTTTATTTATTGGATTAATGTTCAATATGTTGGTGTGAAGTATTTCTATGCTTTACTTGGGTTTATTGCTTGGATGGTGGTTCATAATGGCAGTCTTAGCCAAAGACTTATGGGGTGCGATGACTCGGTTCTATTTTTAAAATTTTCGTGGTTCTTTTTGTCTTGGTGAATAACTGCATGGATATGTGGTTGTTGTAAACTTGATCCTCATGTTCTTTAAGTGTGAGAATTTCTAGAAATTGTTTATACAATTTTGTGCTTTTTCTTTCTTTTTGGCAAGACTTTGGATGGCAAGACTCTGAGCTCTGATATCTGTTTACAGTTATTTTTAGATGGACCATACATTTTTTATTGAGCTCTGTTTAAATCTATTGATCTATGTGTTTGTTCTTGCTTTTTTTACTCTGAGCTCTGATCTCTTTAATGAATAATGCTTATGGGTTCATGAAATCTGATATAAATTTTCTAAGATATACAACTATGATGTGGATTTGTTTATATCTTTTTATGCAAACAAGATGTGCATGAATTACCAATTTTTTTATTTTCTTATTGAATATGTTTATTTTTGTATTTGGGTTTTTGACTACTTTTTCTGTGATCTAGTGCTAACCTTGCTTCCTGTTTGTGAATAAAATGCTGAAAACAAACAGGAATTGAGAATAATCTTGCTTACTTTTTGTGATTTTTGTTTTTGGATTTGGTGAGTTTTACTTAGCTCTAATAATGAATGTTGTAGCTACCATGCTTATTTTGTTACCTTTCTTTTTTAAGAATAATGCTTATGGGTTCATGAAATCTGATATATTTTTTCTATGATATACAGCTATGATTTGGGTTTGTTTATATCTTTTTATGCAAACAAGATGTGCATGAATTACCAATATTTTCATTTTCTTATTGAATATGTTTATTTTTGTATTTGGGTTTTTGACTACTGTCTCTGTGATATAGTGCTAGCCTTGCTTTCTGTTTGTGAATAAAATGCTGAAAGCAAACTGGAATTGATAATAATCTTGCTTACTTTTTTGTGATTTTTGTTTTTGGATTTTGTGAGTTTTACTTAGCTCCAATTATGAATGTTGTAGCTACCATTCTTTTTTAAGAATAATGTTTATGGGTTCATGAAATTTGATATATTTTTTCTAAGATATACAGATATGATGTGGGTTTGTTTATATCTTTTTATGCAAACACGAAATGCATGAATTACCAACATTTTCATTTTCTTATTACAGCTATGATGTGTGTCTGAATGGGCTGATTTCTTAGTTCTTGCATTTTTAATTATGTATGTTTAAACTATTACAGGTTATTGTTTAAACTTAATTAAATTGATGTTGTGCTTGACATTGTCTATAGTCTGCTTTAATTTTGAGGTGCAATGAAGTTTATCATGGAGCATTTGCGTCAATTGGTGTACAAGTGTATCTCTCTCTAGGACGCTTCTCTCACTCATCAATAAAACTCTCTCTCTCTCTCTCTTTCAATCCAACGTACTTTACTTTTAATTGATGTTGTATTCCAAAAAAAAATATTTTACAAATTAATAAAAAATAAATAAATAACTAGGTCTCAATTTTAACGTTTACATCTTGCTTATTACTTAAAGCTAATCCAATACAGATACCCAGTTCTTCTTTAACTTCTCAGGAGGTTATCAAACACAGAAGCCAGGAACTTCTTAACTTCTCAGGGATGTTATCAAACACAGAAACCAGGAACTTCTTCAGAAACTACTAATGTATAGTTCTTCAGGAACTTCCAATTTACAGTTCATGAACTTGCTTCCAGTTATCAAATAGGCCCTGAGGGTTGGTAGCCCCAGCTCCAACTGCTCCCTACCGATGATATCCTGTACCTACTATGTTATTATATAATATTCTCTTTTTGTTCCTCTGCTCTTATATATGCTTCGATCATGAAAAATTAAGCTGTGAGATTTCAATCTTGGGGGGCCGGGGGGGGGGGGGGAGGGGTTTCGACACACAAGGTTCACCCCTTCCTTTTCTTTGATTGTGTATGCATTTATAGGTTCTCTTGATCTTGTTAAAATTTGATTTTGGAAATCCAGAATACAACAAATCGAAGGATTTTATTTTTGGAGCTCATGCTTAGGATCCAAAAAGCATCTTCGTCCCAAAAAGAATTTGGATCAAGCGTGTGTGTAACCGAGCTTAGCTCTTGACGGTTTTATTCCTTCCCTCTCATTTTTCTCTTCCCTTATTTCTCCTCCACCCCCAAGCTTGCTCTTCCCATCCATTTCTTCATCCTCTCTCACCATCGACACTCTTCTCTTCTCTGCGCATTCTTTTCAACCTCATTTTTCCCTATTGTAGAAATTTCTAGATAGGTTGCCAAACACATTAGTTATCTTTACCAGGTATAAAAAATCCCAGCATCTAGATCTCAAAAGTAGATATCCCACCCTCCATTTCTAGCTTCAAGTTGCCAAATGGCTCGTTTATGAAATCAAGCTATCTCTTTTTATCTCTTTGCCCAAAAGAGAAAAGAAAATCCATCCTTTGGGGAATGAATGAATAGGATGAGAAGGGTATTGACGTGCAAGAGGAAGAAAACGTATTATGAGGGTTTGTAGCCCCAGCTCCAACTACCCCATATTGATGATATCCTGTCTACTATATTATTATATAATAACATTCTCTTTTTGTCCCTCTGCTCCTATCTATGCTTCGATCATGAAAAATTAAGCTATGAGATTTCAATCTTGGGGGGCCGAGAGGGTGGCTTTCGACACACAAGGTTCATCGCTTCCTTTTCTTTGATTGTGTATGCATTTATATGTTCTCTTGATCGTGTTGAAATTTGATTTTGGAAATCCAGAATACAACAAATTGAAGGTTTTTATTTTTGGAGCTCATGCTCAGGATCCAGAAAGCGTCTTTGTCCCAAAAAGAATTTGGAGCAAGCGTGTGTGTAACCGAGCTTAGCACTTGACGGTTTTATTCCTTCCCTCTTGTCTTTCTCTTCCCTTATTTCTCCTCCACCCCCAAGGTTGCCCTCATGTCCATTTCTTCATCCTCTCTCACCATCGGCACTCCTCTCTTTCTCTGTGCATATATTTCAACCTCATTTTTCCCTACTGTAGAGATTTCTAGACAGGTTGCCAAAGAGATCAGTTATTTTTACCAGGTATCAAAATCCTCAGCATCTAGATCTCAGAAGTAGAATTTCTAACCTCCATTTCTTAGCTTCAAGTTGCCAAATGCCTCGTTTACGAAGTCAAGCTATCTCTTTGCCAAAAAGAGAAAGAAAATCCATCCTTTGGAGAATGAATGAATAGGATGAGAAGGTAATGGTGTGCATGAGGAAGAAAACGTATTATGAGGATTTGTAGCCCCAGCTCCAACTGGCCCCTACTGATGATATCCTGTATCTACAATGTTATTATATAATAATATTCTCTTTTTGTCCCTCTACTCCTATCTATGCTTCGATCATGAAAAATTAAGCCGTGAGATTTCAATCTTGGGGGGATGGGAGGGGCTTTAGACACACAAGGTTCACCCCTTTCTTTTCTTTGATTGTGTATGCATTTATATGTTCTCTTGATCTTGTTGAAATTTGATTTTGGAAATCCAGAATACAACAAATCGAAGGTTTTTATTTTTGGAGCTCATGCTCGGGATCCAGAAAGCATCTAGTATTCTGGAATGCTCATCCCAGAAAGAACTTGGAACAAGCATGTGTGTAACCGAGCTTAGCTCTTAATGGTTTTATTTCTTCCCTCTCATCTTTTTCTTCCCTTATTTCTCCTCCACCCCCAAGCTTGCCCTTCCCGTCCATGTCTTCATCTTCTCTCACCATTGGCACTCCTCTCTTTCTCTGCGCATTCTTTTTGACCTCATTTTTCCATTCACCCATTCTTCCTGCGCTTTTCAAGCTTCTTTGCTCAGCCACCATCTCCCCACTTGGCATAAGGACTCTGCTTTTGTTTTCCTTAAATCTACCGCTGTGTTTTTTTCTATTTTCTAAACCCCTTTATTTGTTGTCGATAGCCTGCTTTAATAGAACAAACCCCACTAGAAGAGTGTCTTTTGTAGTTATTTTTATAGAAAAATCACTTAACATCAATTCTTCGTAGAAAACCAGGTTTGCATACCCAGGATATGATCAAAACCTGATTTTGCATATATCATGATCCAAATGACCTATTAATTTTGTTTATTCTCTCTTTTTCTTTTTGCTTTCTTTTTATTTTTTCGCCCTTTTGCCCTTTTTGTTTATCTAAACCAGCTAGCTCTGTTTAGAACAGCAGGTAAAATGATTCTTTGTCTTCAGTCCTAGATATTTTGTGAGGTAGCTTGAAAATTTCTTATTACTGTTTCCCTTTGAACAATTGGCTATGGATGAGTCGTGTCTGTGGAAGGCTTATGAGATAACTTTGTTACATTCTTGCTCATGATTTTACTCCTTTTTATGGAAGAGAAGTTGATTAATTGTATATATATGTATGTAATATACCTTATTTCCTGTTGAAATAATAAATGGCAGAGAATAAGCAATCACCTGTAAATGAAATGGAGAAAGGTCCCCACTCATATGGTGCTGTTGTCCTTGGAGGAACCTTTGATCGCTTACATGATGGTCACCGCCGTCTTCTAAAGGTTTAGAATTTTATACCATCTTCTTCCTCAGTTTGTATCCTTATTGCTGAATAAATTTTATTTTATTTTACTTTATTAAGTACTGAAAATGATGAACAAACTCGTGCACATATACATTCTAGTTTGTGGCAAATGATGCATTGCATGAAAGCGCTATATTGTGGCATTTAATCACTCTTTAAGGTGGAAAGAAACTGGATGTATGGAAAGCTTTGCACCATAAGCAAAAGAAGAAATACTTTACCAAGAAAAATGGTACAGTTTATTTTTTATTTTTTTAAAGATCATGTGCTCCAACATTTTGAGGAAAAATTGGTTATTTTGGCTTCTATGAAGGAAAATTGATGACATCACATTAAAAGAGATAAAATTGTTTTGAGAAATCTTGAATTGCATAAGGAGTTACATATAGAGATTGCAAAACCTCACATGATTGGGCCCAATGTTCAAGAAGACAGAAACGGCTGCCTAGGCTAGGCGGCCACCCAGGGCATAGGCCGGCCACTGTGTAGTGTGTAGGCGACTGGGGGGGAGTGAAGGTGGGGTTACAAAAGTGGGGTGTGGGGTTGTCAATTATGGAATCTAATTTCTCATAAACTAAAATTTACATTTTGAAAAATATAAATCAGTAAACTTGCTAAATTCAGTCAAACTTAGCCAACGTAATTTTCTATGAAATATGAATTTACAGTTTACAAATTGAAAATAGTCAACATATTACTCAATATGAGTAATATTGTCAAATTTCGTATTATGAATTGCAAACATAGGAAAAAAATATGCGAACATATAGTAATATGTTCAATTTTGTGTTATAAATTATAAACAAAAGGAAAAATGCATAAACATATATTACAAATATTCAATTTTGCATTATAAATTATAAACATTACCAAACATAACCCAAAAATATAGACAAAGATATATTATAAATAAATTTGCATCATACAATGGAAATAAATCCAAACATTGACAAAAGTATATTATGAATTTTTAATCTTGCATTAAAAGCTAGACACAGCCAAACATATCCACACGATGTATTATAAAATTTTGATTTTGCACTATGAAGTAGAAACATAGCCAAACATGTTATAATCACAAAAGTAGCAAGCAAATCATTAAAATATAAAAATAAAAAACTCAAGAAGTTTCATCATTAATGTAATGCCAAACTTCAAATACAAACACAAGAAAATTACCTTAAAAAAATAACATAATATAATTCTCATTTAAAAAATGAAACCTTAAACATAAACATTTAAATCTTCTAACTTTTCAAAACCCATTCGAAGTAGGCTTTAATCTCTTACTTTGGGGTGCCAAAACCTCTCTTTTGCAGCCTTTTTGGCCTCCAAATGTCGAATGCCTTTTGATTGATTTAAGGTAAGCAAAGATGTTTTGAGTGAGGAATATCTCTCTCACTAAGGTTTTTAGGGGGCAAAATACTACCATAAGTATTTCTTCCCTTTTCAAGGGGAAAATTATTAAAAATCCCTTTTGGTGTCATACAAATGGCACGAACATGATTTTCTGGAAATGTGGTTTTGTGATATTATAATGACATGGCATGTAATCATTCCCTATCCATATATATATATATATATATATATATATATATATATATATCGTAG